GGGGTCACCAGTTATTACAATTCATCCTGGGTGGAACATAATTATCTGAACCAAATTCCATGGCAAAAGTTGTGGAGACATTTCACAATAAAACCTCAAATGTGAACCTACTGGTGGTGACTTATCCTCTGGGAATCATTAAAGCTTCAGTAGGTAACTTTTATAAAAAAAAAAAATCTTTTTCATATTTGCTGAATCCTTCACTATATCCTGACAGTAGTACACAAGGCAGATAATCTTTGAAAAAAATCATGTTCCTCTCCTCCTCCTTGTGACAGGCCTGAATGAAAACAACCAATCAGAGCCAAGAAAAATAGAAAGACACTTTTGGTTGGTAGGTTGAAAATGACCTCTTTACCAGACTGGTATTTGATGAAATGGGAATAAAACTCAACTATCTTTCTCTGAATGTTTCAGCAAATATGACAAAAAGTTATTTTTAATATAAATTACTTTATGCAGCTTTAATGTTTGTACAAAATTTTGCGTGAATACATCAAACAGATGTTAAGATATTTCACAGCATAAGTAAAAACACTGAACTGCTGGTGGCATTACAGGAAACGTTAGGGAATCACTAAAGTCAGTAGGATTTATCCTCTGGGCACCCTAAATATGTGTACCAAAGTCAATGGCAATCCATGCAATAATTGTCTAGATGTTTCACTAAAAGCCAAAAATGTAAACCTGCTGGTGGCACTAGAAGTCAGTACCTAAGTCAGTAGGAGTCATCCTCTGGGGACTATGAATGTCTGTACAAACTCTCATGGCAATTCATGTAATACTTGTTCAGATATTTCAGTCTGGAATGACCAGCAGTGCCACTCCTATAGGGCCATGTCGCTAGAGTAGCTTTCTTTTATCTTTCTGCCTCTAGAGATTTTTCATACTCTTGTCACACTCTTTTTTTCATGTGTAAATCACACTTACCTGTTTTGATATGTCCTGCCACTGAGTCTGACACGGAACACCTGTGTGAGATAAAGGTTAAAAAGTGTTAAATATCTCGGTCTTACATATGACAATATCTGTGACATCTGTATCGAATGCTAAAATGTTCTTTATGTAATCCACTGTAAATCTGAGAGCAATATAAGTCACTTTGGCTTTGGGTGTCATGTGAATCAAAAGTCTTAAAACTCCACTCTGTGAGGTATTCATTATGTACTGTTTGTAGGGAAATCCATAACTTACTTGGGGAATTGGCAGGGTTTGGCAGAAGTGCTGCTATGTCCGGAGGGAGCTGAGGTAGTCAAGGAAGTCAAGGAAGTCAAGGAAGCTGAGGAAGCTGATGGCAGTGTGTGTTTATCATTGTCTGAGATAATGGTTGCTGCTTCTGGAGGACAAAAACATCACAGGTTTAGTTTCAGATTAAAAAAGGACAAAAGCAGGATCAAAATAATGCTCACTGACATGTCTTGGCAATGGCAGCAGCTTAAATGGTACAGATAAAGACTGGATGTATATAAATGTGTTAGAGTGAGTAGAAATGCCAAACAAAATTCAAACAACTACACAGGGAGGGATCTGAGAGAGAAATCTGTGAGATTTAATACATTGTTGGTGCTACTGAGGTGTTACATCTCACGTCTCAAAACAATACCCATGGCTGGAAAATTATTCCTTATTTCTTTCATCCTTTGTTTTTATTTACTGGAACTTTTTTTTCCAGTTACTTGAACCTCTACATTACTAGAGATAAGTTTTGTTCATTAGTTGAATACATTTAGTTGACAGCTGTGGTTAATACTATACTTAGAAGTGTACATTCATAAATGTTAGATCAAATATACACTGTTGTTGGGTAAAAGTCAAATATTTGTGGCATCCTGGCAGTGTAGGGGTTAAGGCTCTAACCATGAGCTGCACTGGTTGTCCAGATAAGGACATTTGCATTCCTCTCTCTCTCTCTCTCATTTCCTGTTGTAGGAAGGGTAAGAGCTTTCTCAACTTAGTTGCAGGTAACTCTAATCTGAAAGCACAACATTAATTTCATTTGTTTCATATCTCATATTTCATATGTTTATATCTATTTGTGGATTTGCAGTGTTTCAGTATTTCTTCACCAATGTTTAAAATGTCCACCAGACCTTTTATCAAAATTAATACAATTACTTTTAATATCTTGCTTACTCAAGTATGACTTAATGCAGCAGTAATGTCGTATTTTCACATCGTACTCTTACTATTCTAAGTAAAGGATCTGAATATTTCTTATAGTGCTCTTCACCTCACTGAGAGGGGAGCCCCCCAGGCTCAGACTTAGCTCATAACATTTTCTAACGGTCACATGTGTAAATGACTAATGTATAGCCTTGGGTATCATTATCAGTCATTTTTACAGTCAGTGAACTCTTCTCAAGTATATTTCGTTTATCATGAGGCCCCCTGCTGGTTGAGGCCTGTTTAATCTGAAAGAACTGAAAGTCTGCACTGCTGTGCATTTACCTGTTGTGGTTGTTTCCTTGATCTTCTCACAGTCTCTACAATTTTCTGATAATGGGACCATTGCAGTGCATTTGAAACCTGCTTCACAGATGCACTTTAAATCGGACTTGCTGGTGCAGTTCTGAACCACCTTCTGATGATAATCTGAAATAGTGGAAAATAGAGGTAATTTTAGGGGTTTTAATTGCAGTAAAATGTCATATCCAGAAATGCAAAGAGAATGAGATTAATAGATTTTCAGTTTATAGAAACCCAAAGGCCACTGGTATCGCAGTCCTGACAGGGCTGGATGAAACCGTTAACTCGGTAGAAATTACTCATAGTTTCTTTACTTGTTTTGCAGTCTGTGTAGCAGGAATGGCAGGTTTCTTCTCGGTTCCTCTCAATTGTGAAGGTTCCAGCAGGACAGGGCAAGCACTCGGTACAAGAGCTCTGGTACTCACCTGAGAGAACAGAAAGAAACAAATGAGAACAACCGGATGGCAAAGAGACTGCTCACCCAAAGTGCATATTAATGAAGGATGTGGTCATACAGCACAACTCTGTGTGCAGTGTGCGTCATTTTTCAGCAAGACAAACAGAGACGTGCCAATAAAATAGACGAGAGAGAGAGAAAGAAAGATACTGTATGCCTCAGTGCTTTATAGTAATTTCCAAATATGAACCACTGCTGATTCATTCATTAAAAATATTGAGTCAAAGCTAAATGAGAAACAGAAAAACAGATATAGAAGTAATAGAAGTAGAAGAAACTAACTTACCTGCAGGGCACCATCTACACCTTCTGCCGCGCAGGGTGTAATATTTGGTCGGCTCTGTCTGTTAACACATTAATACAACTAAAGACAAACCACTACACCACAGCAAAGTCCTGATTAACTTGTAAATACATGTACATACAGTGTATACATTTGACAGTTTGAGCTACATCTTACACTTGAAAGGCAAACAGCATATGATAATAAAATTATACAATTGAATTCAATTTAAACAACTAATTTAATACAGTTTATATAAACCGAAGAAGAAGGACATTGTTACCGGAGAGGTGAGAACCAACTGTGCAGGTAACATCAAGACAATCACAAGACATTGCACAAGTCCCATCCTATGGAGAAACATTTAGAACATAAATAAATAAATAAAGATATCAGCCGGTCAGCTAAAACCACCACACTGAAAGGCAGGACATGTTTTTGTTAAGAACATTAGCAACGTTTCTCATATCACAAATAATAATATAATATATAATAAAATGAATAATGTGACATTAAAACATAATAGATATTTAAAAAACAGTATTTTTTACCTTCAATATGATGTGTCTTTTGTTCTCCTTCTGTTGTTTTGTTAATTTCCTTAAGGTGTGACTCTGTCTTTCTTTCTCTATGTTCTGTCACTCACTCTACCCATCCTCTTTGTCACTGTTTCCTTACCTGCTTACATCTTCCTGTCTTCCTGTCTCCCCCGCCCACCGACCTCAACCAGTCTATTTGCTGCTTCAGGCTCACATATGTTTCTGCATCAAAGGCTTACCACTTTCCGTGCAAACTGTAAGGTCTGACGAACAATGAATCAAAGAGCTGTTCTGTGCACAATTACCTTGTGTCAACAACATAATGGAAGAGCAGATTTTTTTAGACAGTGACGGTAACGATCGAAGTTTTGGTTTTTAGAAAAATATTCAAGTACCTTTAATTCGATTTGCTAGATTTAATTCTCCAAAGGTCAAGAAAAAGTCAAGAAAAATTCAAAACAAGAAAAAAAGTGGTGGAAGTACATAAGTATTATGAGCGAAATATAGTGCAGCAGAATGGTCCATGTGACTGATGTATTATTGTATTGTAGCTGGTCAAGGTGGAGCTAGTTTTAACAACTTTATGCTACGCAATTTTTTAATCAGTTGTTTAGGGATTTTCTGTAATTGGCCCTTTTCTGTGTAAATTATAAAATATTTTTATCCTTTTGGGCTTTTAAGCAGTTATTTAAATTTACCCTCCGAGTAGTTTAGAGGAGAAATCTGAAACATGACAACGGGGTCTGCACTACACACTGCTTTTAAAAATGTTGGGAGTCTAGGTCTATGTTTAATCTTAAACAAAGCATCTTACTTTATAAGCTCAAGATATGATGAAAATCTTAATCTGAAAAGTAACTAAAGCTGTCAAATAAATGTAGAGGAGTAGATGTATGAAGTAGCATTAAACGGACGTGCATCAAAATCAAGTAGAGTACTTGAGTAAATATACTCTGCAGATAGTTTTAGTTTTATTCGCCTACATTTCGAGCTATCTCCATGTGAGATTTCCATCACAAACCGAACACAATGGACAGTTTAATTGTGGTACTCACGTTTACTCATTTTCCAAGGCGCATAGGAAATGTTGAATGGAAACACACAGAAATAACTAATATAGACACATAATTTTGTTGCTCAATTGCATCTTTTATTCTTTCAGTCTCTCTTGACACACATTACATGTAGCTCTGCAGTGAAGCTAGATTACTACTGATACTCTTGATATTTAAAGCTGCATAGTCACACATCTGGAATACTCAATCAATACTCAGGATTACCATCAAATAGTTATGAGACATAAATTGAATCAACATATTTTGAGGCAAGTCTTTCTCCTTCATAAAGATTCACAAAAAAAAACTTGTTTTTGTCATCAACCACCATTGTTTCCATTGAAAAGCTAAATAGAGCAATCAGGTTATTATATCTTAATTCAAAGCTTCTAGAAGTTTCTTTTCCAGTGTGTGACTGTGGACAATCTTCTTCTGCAGTCCTTGAACACAAGTATATATTCAAAGCTATATTTCCTTTACACATATATTATCAAAGCCATCGTACAGTCATTTCGCTAAAGCATTTGCATTTCAGTAGTTGTATTTTTATTTTTTTTTAACTTGAGTTATTTTTAAATTGACTTTATTTGGCAACCCCATACACTCATAAAGAAAGTGTACCAATGGAAAAAAAGAACTCCATTGTCATTTGATTTAAATATCTACAATTTTTGAGGTGATTATTGTCAAAAGACATCTCAAATTTCTCTTGTAAAGGTAAACAAATTGGACTGTTTCCTTCTTCTTCGTGTTGTACATTTGCCCCAGTAAAAGTCTTTTTAAAAACACTCACTATACAGACATAACGCCCAAAAAACATACACACTGGCACATGCATACATAGAGACTCACTCAGTGCGAGAAAGTAAACCTATACAAAGGGAAATGGTATGTTTTGTCTCACACAGTGCATCTCTGACATCCTCCTTCTGTATTCAAACAGTAGTGAAATACTGTGTTTAGCATTCAGCTGATTCCAACAGCCACACATGCATGAGTTTATACAAGCTTCAAATATGTCCTCCTACTGTCTGTATTTCTCAAAGTCAAGTTGAAGTGCAAGTCGCAATAGAAGCAGAAGAAATACATCTCACCTGGTTCAACCACAGAGAGGAAAACTACAGCCAGGACTATATTTAGACAACAGTGTCTGATAACAGAGCAGTGATGGTAGGGGGCACTCCCCTGACAGTGACGATTTCCAGCAGTTTGCTATATATGTTTTACTGTAGAAGTGTCGGAGTCAAAGTTCATGGCTAAATGTGCACATTAAAACATAAATAAAGTAAAAATGAGGTATGTGTTCGTGTTAATTTATTATTCTACTACCCCACCTGCAACATGTAAAAGATGAGGAAATATGGATAGAAGAAATATAGTTTTCTATTTCCAGCGTGTCAACATTTTTTGTCACGTTTTACAAGTAATAGTGCTGATTGTTTCATATACATTTTTGCTTTGCTCTTTCTTTCTATGTGCAACGTTTACAGGCTCAAAAATAGGTTTAGTTATATATACATCAAGCACCTTGGTGACATAGCTTTGGCAGCTATATTTAGTCATTCTTTTATTTCCAGCAATTTCCTGTTGATTCATAATCTGACCGTTTTATTTTGGCACTCAGCGGCTAACTTACACGATGTCATCATCCTTTTGTTCTTCTTTTAGTATCCTTACAGCAATTCTGCTCAACCATGCAGCTCGAAAACAAACGGGACCCGACTCTAAACTAAGCATTATATAGCATTCATACAGAGTGTCAGTGACACCGAGAGCCGAATCCAGAGCCAACACTCTTCATTCATAAGCTTCAAGAGGGTGCAGACTAAATCTTACCTGCACAGGATGGAGACTATGGCTACATTTAAAACATGCCTCCCTCTCACACACCTTTAAGTTTCTTATGAAGCACCATTAACAGAATGTTGTTGTTTTTTGTTGTTATTAAATGTTGAAACCTTGTTGATGTTCCTTACTTCCCTTCATATGCTTCTTCTACTTCTTTATTATTGTCCACATTAATTTACATTAAAATTCCCACTGAGAAATTGATGTTGGTGCCTATTCTCTGTGTACGAGGGTCGCCATGTTGGTCTTGTTGAACATTACATTACTGATGCTTACAGCCAATGTTTTAAGTACTGTTAAAATGTATTGCAACTGCAGTGGATACATTGTGAATGATGAGCTATTTTGGCCCTTTATTTGTAGATTTAATGCAACATTTAGGAAATGGTAGAGAAGTGGAGCAATGGATAACATGTTTACATTGGTGGATTTCTCCCATAAAATCCAGTTTGGATCTAATTAATTGACAGCAGATAAATAATCGAACATAATTAATATTGGAGGATCCATGAGAAATAATTGCTGCTCCATTATACACACGCCTAATGTTTTGGTTTTTTAAAAAGTAATGATTTTTCCACTTCATATTTAGCTAAAGCACAGTTGTTATGATTTATTTAGGACTTAAGGTTTGCTTTGCCAGTGGTTTAATCTGTTAGTATACAGATACAAAGCAAGATCAGAATCTGCAGCTGTAAGGCAGTAAAATGCTGAATTATGACATCTTATTAGACTTTAAAGGCTCCTTATTATCAATACCAAACTCCAAAATACACTCAATTAACTCCGGCACAACTCAAACTATCCTGCTATCTGTTTTTTGTTGTGGTTTGTTTACTAGTAGAAGGTACATTATCAGCCTGTACATTTGTGTGGAGTGGACTTTTAGTGACCATACAATAGGTATTTCCATGATTAGCTTCAGATGCCCAGGTTATAAAGTGTTTTTCTTATTGTGTGTGGAGTGAATAAGTCATGCTATGTTTTCCTGTAGCCTGCAGCACTGTACTGCCTCAGCACACAATAGGGAGATCAGCCGTTTACTTACAATACATTGAGGATATGCAACCATCTGACTCTTCACAGGACAATCCATTATAAAATTCACTTTCTTAACTACTGCTGTCAAACACAAGCTGACAGGGTCCAACTACAAGAAGACCTCTCCCCTCTGCAGGGCAGTGGCATCTGCATGGAGTAATAATGACAAAAATCCAGCTGTGCTACTCAACTCACAGTTCCAGTGCTCAAAGTCTCCTCAGACCAAAGCTGCTTTGCATGGACAGCAGGAAGAATAAACAGTGTGACTCAGTAAATGAAGAGGTTCACATGTAAACATGGTGTTGCCATAGTTACAGGTGTGTATTGCGTTGGTGTGGTACTGTAGCTGTATGCAGTGGAGGTCAAATGACCACAGCCCCCATCGCTGCCGGGGTGAGGAAGTGTCAAGATCTCCCAGCGCTCGAGGAAGAAGGTGGAGATGCTGAAGACCTGTCGCTCTCTCTCTGGTCACTGTCCTCAGTGGACGCAGGTGCTGCAGAGTTACTGTGAGAGACAGATACACACGCTTCATGTTGTGTTACAGACCCTTCATTAAACGATTGTATACTGCTTACTAAATGCTGTAGGGAAGGGGTCTTAAACTCAGATTGGCTTGGGGCTTGCTGATTTTGTCATGTCATAGGAGGGCCATGTACAAATACTACAAGAAACCACAATATTCTGAAAATATTTTCCCTTATACTGGATAATACTGCATCATACTCCACAAAAATTCAAATGGTAGTTTCAACACATTTGTATATGATCATTTTATATTATCTTTGTTGTTCGCAGCCAAACAACAAACGAAGGCCTGAAACCTGCACCGTTTGCATGCATTTGCAAGCACCATTGACCTTTGTCATTACATTGCGCCAAATTTAAATATTGTGTTTTAATTTATTTGTGTATAAAGGGGTAGTAAAACTGATAGGAAACAAGTAGAAATAATAATAATTAAAAATAATAATAATAACTTGTGGGCTGGATTCTATTATCTGCCCCAGGCCAGCAGTTTGAGACCTCTGTTGTATCGGGACTTAAAGTAAAGTGCTACTGTAAGAAACTAAAGGACCATTACCAAAAGAAAAACTGATTGACAGACCATTGGCCTTATATAATTAGATACAGCCAGGACTGGCAGATCGATAATGTAGCCTGAAAGCCAGAGAGAGAGTGTGTGTGTGTGTGTGTGTGTGTGTTGTGTGTGGTGTGTGTGTGGTGTGTGTGTGTGTGTGTGTGTGTGTCACCTGTCTCCAGTCTGCGTGATGAGTCTCCTGCAGGTCTCCATCTGAACATCGAGGCCTCTCTTCATCGAGCACATCTCCATGTACTCGTGCAGATGTCTGTTCATGTCACTCTTTGCTGTGGCCAGTTCCAGCTGGAGTCAGGAAACATGCAGTCAAACATATTACAAATGTTAAATTACAAATGCTGTGATGTGTTTACCATAAAAAAGTACTTCTGCACAACTATGAGGTGCCGGCTATGTGCCTGGCCAATTACTGCCAAGCTTCACACAGCTTTATGAAACTCTTTTATGTCTAAGTAAAGAATAATTTTTACAGATGTTTGATTACACATATGAGATAAAAAGATACACAGTACAATGCTATATAACAAGAAAATGAGAAGAACAAATGCATTAAGGAGCTCTTGAGCCTTGATTAAGGAATTTATCAAAGCAACTGGATGCACCATTACAAGATGGACTAATCAAAACCAACCAGAAAAACAGTGTCACTTAATGTTGAGTCATTCTTCTTCAGTAAATCTTCTCACTGCACAAACCCTGTGTGCATGCGTGAGGCATAGGAAAAGCTGTGGTAATGGAATCTCAATGCACAATGCAAAGGACGTGAGAAAAAACACGAAGAAAAACAGGCAACATACTGTATATCAACAGAGAAATGATTACATATTTGTACTTTAAATACACGGAGTAAAAGTCTGACCTCAATCTGGTCAATTGTCTCCTGGTATTCCTTCTCTCGGGACTTGAAAAGGCATTCAGTGTCATTAATCACCTGTTCCAGACAGTCCTCCTGCTAGAGAGAAAGAGAGAAGGGGGAGATTTTGAATCTCTGATCTGATCTGGACATATGTGATAAAATGTAGCAACATTTAGCTGAACATGTGTTTGTGTGCTAATCATCATCAGACACTAAGTGAAGTTACACGACTATCAAAGCACAGCTGGCTTTATTCTCCCATCAGCTCAAATTTCACTGACTAATGCAGAGTGGACAGCAGACCGTTCAAACACCACACAGCCGCTGAATGAAAACAAATACCTACATGCATTTCTTGGAAACAAACACACTGTACACCAATACAGGCCAGACTCTGTCTGTGTGTGTGTGTGT